ATGTTCCATTTACAGCCGTGTAAATCCGAAATCGTAGCAAAAGTTTCTACATGTTTTCCCACTTGTCGACTACGTTCTCTTGCTCGTTGACAACTGTATTCAAGCCAATAAATATGACATTGGAGCAGTTCCTCTAGTGTAAACATATTCAACATTTTACTTACACGAATTAGACCCGTTTTCTCAATATACAATGGTCGATGAACTTTTGTATAGCCATGGTGAGCATTCGGAATAACTCTTTGAAGGAGATTCATTCGAGATGATGTGGATGCATCTTCTAGAATCGAATCGACATTATTGTCTATCCGCCATTGTATCATTTCCTGAAGAGATTTGATCGTATGTGTTACATTCCATTTTCTACCACGAATGAATCTGTGTAATTCATAGCGCCATTCATTTTCTTCTTGTTCACTATCGAATTTAGTCTTCAGAGGTAAATTCAGTTTATGCTGGAGATAGGATGTATGCTTTGATTTTAATTCATTGTAAACGGTATCAAATTTTTTCTGCTGTTCTATATTTAATTGATTAATGTCAAACAATGGACTACTGACGGGCATTGTTGTACACAATGATCTTAAATTGAGGTTCTTAGTGAAAATATAGGTATATTGGTATATACCTTGTCCTGTGAAGTGATTGTAATGAAGTAAATCTAACAAAAACGAAATCAAAGAAAAAAGAAAGGTAAGTCGTATCCTTGGACCTTCATTCTATACTTAAAAAATTTTTTTTTTGTTTGAAAGCTTGTATCTAGGGCTAGCGACTCTCGTGACCCTTATTTTAAAATTTTTACTTTTTAAGCGAAGAAAAAGGATGACAAGTTCAATAACTCAAAAGGTCCACGAAAGTCGCTAACCCTAAACACGAGCTTTCAAACAAAAAAAGTTATTGACTACAGTGAAGCTCCTTCAAGAATTCTTGGAGATACGTTCGAAAAACTATATAACGAGAAAAAAACGAAAAAGGTTTTTTGTTTTTTTCCAAAAAACAGCTCATTTGTCAACTAGGGAATGACAGAAATCTGCAAAAATTTGTGTAAAAAAGAAGTGCTGAGTAAAAATTTTTGTCGTTTATGAGAGATCAGATCACGGACTATCTTTGCCTGTCTCTATTTTTGTTTCAGTGATTTTGACGAAAAGTGACCTTTTCGAGGGAGGTACCTTAATCTTATCTGCTGACCTGCCTCCGTCCCCCTCCACTCTTCGTGTCACATATTCTCAAAATTATCACCATTTCAAAGATCAATCATTCCAATTATTTGAGAAATCAAGCAGCTTTGCAACTCAAGAAGTACACAAATCACTATTAATGTTGC